GGGGATGAGCTGGCTTTGCTGCTGGTCTGACTCGGTGTGACTGCAGGGTGAACCACCCCAGGAACCCAGAGGAAGCCTGGATTCCATCCAACCACTATCCCAAGTGCCCTGGACATCAGGCTGGGACAAAGGAAAGGCCAGCACAGGAAAAGGAATAAGCCAAAAAGGTGAGGAGAAAGCACAGCTGATTGCTCCAGTGCAAAGTCTGAACTGCTCATATCAAAATCCTGCTATTGCTCTAAACAATCCACAGCATTTTAGTTCATTACTAATTCTCTAATGACTAAATTTCTTTGGTGAACTGGACTTTGCACTCCTCTAGGAAAGCCACTGCTGGATGCAGGGAGTGACTCCTGCCTGAGATCTTCCTTTGTTCTCAAAGCTGCAGCCACACACTGAACCTCCCTCCAGATCCATGGAACTCTCCCCGTGGGAGCTGAGGGTTGGGAACACTCCTGTGGAGGCTGCAGCTCCACTGCCCACAAAATTATAGCTGGAAATGGGGTAGAACTGAGACTGCCTCAGGAACCATTCCTTTTGTTCCTGGTTTGTTTGCAAGGAATCAAAATCTGAGCTCTCCTCACCGGATTTGAGTGAGGTTTCTGCACAGAGGTGAGGTGGAGGGAAATCCTGCTGAGGCAAACTGCACGTGGCTGAAGAGAAATGAAGCAGTTTAAAAACATCTGTTAAAACTGGCTGTTGAAATCTCTTTTAACAGTCAAATAACACTGGCCAGGCCAGGTCAAACCTTTCCTGTGCTGCTGGATGTGACTGATGCAGGGAGAGGCTGGAACTTTGAACAGTAAACCTCAGCACAACTTTCACTGGCTCCTCGTGGCATTTTAGGGAATATTTAGGAAGGATGAAATAGAGAAGGAAAATGGCCCTTAAGGCAAAGTGTTTGCAGGTGAACAGTGCAAACAGAGCTACAGAAAACCAGGGGTTAAAACCCACCAAGAGGCACAGGGAGTGTGGGAATGGGGACAGAAAGCAGCACTAGAGGGTGCCCCACGATCACAGAGCTCCCTTTGCCTCCTCCACTCAGACCAGGTTTCCCAAATCCTCCAGCAGGAAGTTACATAAATAGTGGGATAACAAGATGAACTTCTGCTCTCCTCCTGCACTGCCAGATGTCTGCCCTGGCAGCAGAACTGGAACAGCACATTAAATCAGCAGAGGATCTGATTAAAAAAGTGACTGTTGCTCTGTGGATTTAGTTTGCTGAACCAGCTTGGTAAAGTCACTTCTGCTGAACCAACTGGGTAAAGGAGTGACCCAGTCAGAAGTGACTCCTTCACCCAGTTGGTTCAGCAAACTAAACCCAGAGTGACTGAAGAAGAGAAGACTCTCTCAGCTCCTCTCTAAGGCAACAGAGCTAATTCTCAGATTTGGGTGTTGAGTGATGGGTGGGGCAGTGACAGACCATCCAAGTGTTAAAGTTTCAGCACATCTGATTTCCAACACAACTGGCCAAACACTTTGGTCAGACTCAGATCTTTCTTTCTTCTCCTTAAAGAGTCTTGATCCTTTCATCACTTGATCTTTGATCCATGACAAAGATGCCTTCATTCCACTGTGGACAGAGAACACACCAGGAGCAGCTGAGGGACTGCACTGGCAGCTTCCCAGTGGGCTCTGTAACATTTTTATGTGACAAAGTGAGAAGGTGCCAAATTTTCTCTCTTTTCAACCTGTCAGATCCCATCACAACAGGAGCACGAATTCCTGACTTCAACACATTTGTTCAGATGGCTGCAGGAAACGTGAGTGACTACAAAGGGAAGGGGAAGGAGGAGGTGTCCACGTCCTAATGGACACCAGGCTGTGAGCCAGTGGGAAAAAGTGAAGGAATGCTGGATTTCTACCCTAAAGATCTCACAGAAAATGGAGATGAACTTCACTGAGCTGTGAAAGGGACTGGGTGCATATCTGGAATTCCTCCACACACAAGATGAGCAGTTGTCCCATTCAGCCAGTGAAAACAGGGATCTAAGAGCCCCTTTCCTGCAGACACTGTGCTCAGCACCTGCACACACCCAGCTCTCCCAGCCCCCTCAGAACTGCTGAATGAAGCTCTCACCTTCTTCAAAGTCAACACCAGAAACTCTTCCAGGCTGCTCAAGGCTGCTTTCTGACTGGGGTTACATTTCACATCTCCACTGCCTCAGGTCCTGACAATTACCACGTGCCTGATTTTTCACAGGCCTCAGTTAAGCTGATGTTTTATTTCAGCTCCTCATTAGCAGCAGCTCTTAATGGCTGAGGGTGAAAGGAGAGAGTCTGCAGTGGGCTGTCAGAGAGCAGCTTTACTTACTCTGTTGTTTTGTACACGTCAGAGTAGAGCCCTGCCTTCTGGTACTTCTTCTTTGGGGGTCGAGGGGCCTTCTTCTCACGCTGGGGCAGAGCAGGCAAAGGCTGCTCAGGGTTCTCAGGCTCAGGTGGTTTCCCAAGGGCATCCTGTGGACTGGGAGGTTCAGCTACTGGCTCAGAAAAACTGGAAGGAAAGAGTAAAGATTAAAGATTATCTTGCCATAAAGATTCCCTCACCAGATTTCATTACTCCTCTCTGTTGTCTGCTCAGCAGAAAAAGTCTATGAATTAACAGTTAATTCAACAGTCTCAGCTATTTAAAAAAAATGCAACTCAACGACCACGATCAAGTGGGGGGTTAAGCATAATCTGAAGAAATGTACAATATTTTTGTAGTAACATTATTAGTTATTACAGAAAGAATGTTGTTTGTACTGCTAATGTTTATCCCTTGGAGCCTCAGTTGAGTAATTCAGAAGGCAGCTCATGCTCTCTGCCTCTGGACTCTAAAAATAGTGTGTGGTAACCCTTTCCTTGGCCTTCAGGAGAGTCACAGAGCAGCCCCTGAACCCATTTCTGGAAAGGAAAACTTCTGATCTGTTTGTTGATGACTCTGGGGACAAGCATGAGAAGATCAGATCAGAGAGGGATTCCTGGTGTGGTCCTTTGCTAGTGACTGCAGAGGTGCACCCCTTACCTCCTCCTTGCTGCCTTGGCTTTACTCTTCACTCTGTGCATCCAGTGATCTCACCTCACACCCTGTGTCTGGCTGTGATCTACCCTGGTAACACTCCAGAGTTCCCACAACTCTTCAGAGTTCCTTACTGCACACAGGAGGAAGGAACAACCTGTGGCACCTCAGCAGTGACCCCGTTACCGACTCATCAAACTTACCCTTCACCAACACAACCAAGAACTTGCTTCACTTGAGCCACAAGCACAGAACCAACAGTTTTAGGTCTCCTGAGATCCCATCCTGTTTTGGGGTGTGTTCAGTGCCTGAGGAAGGCCTGGAGCACACTAAAACATGTTGATTCCCTCTAAACTGAGCTCCTTAGTAAAAGCAGATCGTTACAGGTGCTTGGTGAGATTCAGAGGAATCCCTGAGCAGAGGGTTCCCTCACGGATTGAAACGTTACAAAATCAATAAGGGGACAAAACTGCAAGGGAATCACCTCTTATTGCTCTCCTGTTCATCCTCAGGCAAAGACTTGTGCCTCTTCCTGGCCTGTTCCTCCGGCAGCCACCTCTTCCTCTTCCAGCCCTTGCGGTGCTCGGGGTTCAGGTTCACGCTCTGCACCACGGCCTCGATGACGTCCGTGATGGTGTCAGGGCCCAGGTGCAGGGGGCTGCTGCTCGGCTCCCTGTTCTCCAGCTCCTGGCTGACCAGCCTGTGGGCCTGGAAGGCCTGCATGGACACCACGGCCTGCAGCGGGTACTTCCTCGGCCGCCCCGGCCGCCGCTTCACGAAGTTGTTCCCGGTCCGCGACTGCCTCTGCAGCTTTTTGGCCTTCAGGATCTTATTGACGTGGTCCAGATTTTTTTTTGTGGCCAGGATCTTGTTGTAATTGCACATTTTCCTCGCTTGGCGCTGCATGGCCTCCACCACGCTCCTCTTGAGGTGCCTCGGGGAGTAGCTGCCGGGCAGCCGCTCCGACAGGAGGGAGATGCTGTCGCTGCAGGAGCTGCTGGGAATGGCCGGAGCCACCAGGTTGTCCTGCTTGCCCAGGGCTCTCTCCCTGGAGTGGTTCCGAGCGGGACTGGCTGAGGGTGGCACGTTGGCCATCACGGCTTCCAGGGTCTTGTCCAGCACGGGCGGGCCCTCCTGTGCCATGCGCTGGAGCAGAGTGTCCACCGAGTCCTCGGCAGCCGGGGCCAGGCGGGCGCTGCGGGCTGGCACCGACATCCCTGCAACACAGACACGGCCTGAGGCAAAGCTGGGCTGGGACTGGGGAGAGGCAGAACTGAAACACATCAACTGAATGAAAGGACAGTGTTCTGTGCCCTGGGACTGGGGAGAGTCAGAACTGAAACACATCAACCGAATGAACGGATGGGACTGGGGAGAGTCAGAACCGAAACACATCAACTGAATGAATGGACAGCGTTCCATGCCCTGGGACTGGGGAGAGTCAGAACTGAAACACATCAACTGAATGAAAGGATGGGACTGGGGAGAGGCAGAACTGAAACACATCAACTGAATGAACGGACGCCGTTCCGTGCCCTGGGACTGCCCACGTTCCACGACAAGACACCGATTTCCACCCGTGACCTTCCAGAGGGAAGGAGACACTTCACATCATCAGTTTTAACATGAACAATTATCAACAGTGATTTCCTCTTTATTCACACTCAGCCCCTTCCAAGAGCAAAAAGCAACGAGGGTTCACACAACCCAGAACTCAAGTTTCCTTCTATTCAACACTAAAGGTGTCTCCACACATAAAAATTCAACCCTGATAAAAAACTGAGGAACATCTTAAATGTTTTTAAACCACTTTTCCTGTTTTGTTTTGGTTTGGTTTTTTTATGGTTTGGAAGCACTGAAACAACTTTTTCATTGCTGTTGCAGGTTTTTTATCAAAAATACAAGCCTAATGAGAACTGATTGGATAAAGGTAAATCAAAATATCTGGACAAAAGAGAAAGGCTAATCTACGAAGGAAGTAAATTTAGATCTCACTTTTAAAACTGTTATATGCTTTAGAGCTGCAGACTGGTGTTTGAAAAAGAGAATTTCCAGGTCAGCCATGTAGATTATGCCGCATTAAAAAAGGGATTTGTTCCAAACCCAGAGCTTCCCAAAGCTGCCCTGCTGCTCCTCAGTGATAACATTCCTTCAGAAGAAACCCTGCTCTTCCTGGAATGAAATGGATGCTGCCTCCTCATAAATACATCACAACTGCACATTAGCACTGACAAAACGTTGCAGTAATTGTGGCCAATTATTCAGATCAGATATGTTTAACCCAGCAGGACCCAGGCTGGAGCCTGAGCAGTCTGGTGTCCAGGGAACTGCCACAGGGAAGAGCACAAGGTGGTGCAGGAAGGGTTCTACCTTTGACAGAAGGGAGGTTATTTGTGAGTTGACAGAGACAAAGCACAACCAGTTTAAATGTTTTCCAGCCCCAGGGCTCGCTGGCCCCAGGGTGCTGCTCTGGAGAAATGGAATCCTCACTGTGATTCCAAAGCCAGGGATTTTAAGTGCAGAAGAGAAGGTGCTTCAGAGAGTTTGGGGGAGGAAGAGGAGGAAGAGCAAAGCACGTTTCAAAAATCCCCCTCTGACCAACGTCCCTCCCAGTGACAAAGCACAAGAGAGGCCTCCTGTGAGCTGACTGTGAGCACTGCACAGCCCCAACAGCTCCAAAACAACCCACATTTACACTTCCAGCTTTCCATTTCAGATGGAATAAGCAAGATAAATCACCCTTTGCTTTCTTGTGGCCTTTAGAGGCACGTGGGGGCTCCTCACAGAACCCCCCTGCCAGCACAGCAGCCCTCCCCCGGCCTGCTGGGTGTCCTGGAAGCAGAGCTGCTGCTTGGGAACAGCTCCAGAGGGATGGGACACTCCAGGCTCCGATGCCAGGGCCAGCTGCAGCCCTCTGACAAACACCCTGGAATCCCACACGCATTCCAGACCCACGGAAAACACAACCATGGCCGGTCCTTTCAGCTGCATCATCCACTCTGGAGCTGATAAACTTGTGATTCATGTCATTCCAATGCTCCTGCACAGAACACTCCCGAGCTTTTAACACTTCCCGTTCCCAGAGTTACACTGAGGCAGCTCCCCTTCCCAGGGAGTGAGAAGAAGGTGGATGAGCCAGAGGAAAAGGGGAGATCCCTTCCCCACTGCTGAGGAGTTTGCAGCCTGTACTGAATGCAGCACTGGTTGCAAACATCTGCTTAAAGGGGGGAGGAAACAGTTTTGGCACATTCTTGCTAGATGGAAATCCCATCTGTCCTGGAAGTACCAATCCCAAGGGTTCACCACATTTTGCAGTCACTTTGGGTGTCTAAGGATGTCTGAATTCTGTTATCAGGAGTGTTTCTACAACTGGGCTTCTTACAAAATGGGTCAACACGCTGGATGTCCCTCTGTCCAACCCCAGGGAAGTTCCCATTCCATCTTTAGAGAATCCCAGAACAGTCTGGGTTGGAAGGGACCTTAACCCTCAGGGATGGTCTGGTGCAGGGCTAAGGGTTGGACCTGATGATCCTTATGGGTCCCTTCCAACCCAGCATATTCTGGGATTCTGTGTTCACATCCCACCCCCTGCAATGGGCAGGGACTCCTTCCCCTGCCCATGGAAGGATTGGAATCTCGCCAGCCTTTCCTGTCAGGGTCTGGTTCATCACACATTTCACAGCTGGATGGTAACATGCAGGAAATGAAGGTTTTCAGATCTTCCCTGTCACAGCTTGGTCCATAAATTCAACATTGTCCCAGGGGTGAAAATGTGACTGCCAGGAACACACACACGTCCACACACAGGTGAGCTCCTCACAAAAGAGAGCCCAAATACACAGAATCACAGAATCATGGAATTGTTAACGTTGGAAAAGATCTCCAAGACCATCCAGTCCAATCTTTGTCCCATCCCCACCTTGTCCCCCAGCCCAGAGCACTCAGTGCCAAGTCCACTCCTTCCTTGGACACATCCAGGGGTGGAGATTCCCTCACCTCCCTGGAGCCCATTCCAATCCTTAACAACCCTTTCCAGCAAGAAATTCCTCCTCATGTCCAACCTG